TTCGTCAACAAAAGTTCTTCCTACACCTGACAAAAGGGCACGGCAAAGGAACAAGGGCATGGCGGAAAATCATACCAAGTCTTTAGTCTCAAACATGTCTATCAATTTGAGGAAAATGTTGGTAAGATATCATTCAACAAATCCTGAGGAATAAGCAACCCTGCAGCACTCACTCACTCACTCAATCACTCATTCACTCACTCACTCATGCACGCACTCACTCACTCATTCACTCACTCACTCACTCATTCACTCACTCACTCACGCACTCACTCACTCACGCACTCACTCAGCACTCACGCACTCACGCACTCACGCACTCACTCACGCACGGAAGCACTCACTCACTCACTCACTCACTCATTCACTTACTCAATCCCTCTACTCACTCCCTCACTCACTCACTGTACTTGAACATACATACACACACACAAAGTCACCTACCTACCTACATACATACCTACATACATACCACCATCGTCCCTCCATCACTCTCATACTTTCTCTGCTCAGTCTAAGTCTAAAGAAGTTGGTAAAATGTGGGGTTATCCGGTCCTTTAATTTGGCGTTTGTGGCAGGTAATTCCCAATTGACTTGTGTTGGACGCGAGGATGCGAGCAGAGTGAGTTGTTGCTGCTCTGCTGTGGTTCTACAAGCATGACTCCGGCAGCTTCGCTCTGAAACAAATCCTTGCCACAGGCTGCTCCATGATGGTGTATCCATGAGTTGACACATGCTGCCTTCTAGGCTTCAAGACGATGCAGCGGAACTGCAGAGGTACTTCCAAGTGTCTCCAAAGTTGCTGGGGTTTGGAGAAGCTTGTTTTGGTGTCTTGACAGTGTCATGCTGTGGCATGGCATCATGGGCTTTACGAGATTTGGCGACAAGCGTGTCAATGATTTGGATTTGCTTTCAGGTTATGTAGTTGGAGTTGCATGCTTGCACCGCGAAAATCCAGGCAGGCGGATCTGCATGCAGATCGCTCCCCGTACGTCTTGATCATCTGTTCTTTACCTGTCGTTTTTGTTTGCAATGCTTTGTTCCTCTTCCTTCTGCTGTATTTTCATGTGTACAAACCCCAAACAAACCTTGTTACTGTCTGCGCGCTCATTTCACTGAGGAATGAGCACTTTTTTGGTGACACCTTCGATGTGCTGTGTTTTCATATGTACAAACTCCAGGCATACTTTGAAAACATCTCTGTGCTGCGCATTCTATTGGAGAAAGCCATGCCATGACCACACCTTCGATCTGCTGTGTTTTCATATGTACAAACCCCAATCAAACCTCAATTCTAGGCAGCGGACGAAACCTACAGTTGCCGCGCGCAAAAAAAGAAATTAATTGAACTTTCCTTTAAAATCGTCCGGCCCCATAGTTTTGGTTCGGTTGTGGTTTTGTGTGTTTTGTTTGCTTGGTTGCTTGTGTTTTTGGTTTGTGGTTTTTTCTTGATGGGACCGCTCACTGGACTGTGTACAGGTCCACTACCAGCGCTTTTGTGGCTATCGACAAGTAGACAGCCTTGCATGGTAATTGCAATTCATCTTTTTGCTGCGATTGAACGTGTGTAACGACCTGGCGGAAGCCATGAAGGCGTTGGACGGAAAAAAAAGGCATCGTCCGGCCCCATAGATTTGAGGTTTGAACAAGGTTTGCTTGAGGTTTGTACATATGAAAAACCAGCATGCCAGAGCTTTGCCACTTGAAGTGTTCCTGCCATTGTAAAGTGTCCGATGGGACGTGTATTCCGAGTTTGTTCGAGGTTTGTACATATGAAAACACAGCATGTTAGAGTACTGGCAGCCAGCGTGCTTTTCTTGAGTCTTTTCCGGGCGGGTTGATGCTTGCTCATGTTGCCGGAAGCGTTAGCACAGACCTCAATGTTTGAGAGAGAATGGCAAATCCATGTGTCTCACAGGAAGATTGCCATTCAGCAACTACTGCGTCAGTAGTCTGGCTGCTGGCTTTAGATTTCATCTTTACTCTATGTGTATCCCCTTGCCCCGGAATTTTAATATTCCCTCCAGGTCAAAGACCTCGTAAAACTTGGTCTTTTAACTTTGCTGAAAAGGACCTACTATTACTTGATGGGGACCTACTATTACTTGGACCTTTTGGGTCCAAAGTTAAGATGATGGCCATGGATGTCCAACAGTAATATATAAGATGCATAAACCCATAATTGTTGACCTAAATTTCAGAATAGCCACATCCCTTCACCGACCAAATATCCAATTTGTGGTTTATCATAGGGTACCCCACACTATTTTATCATTGGGAGTCCAGGGCTGGAACCACCACAAACGTATGGTTTTTGAATTATCAGGGGCCCAGAATCGCTAGCGTGAACCGAGCGTGAACCGAGCGTGAACTGGACCAACTATGACCGGCAAAAGACCAACTATGACCGGCAAAAGACCAACTATGACTGGCAAAAGACCAACTATGACCGTGAACCGAGCGTGAACCGAGCGTGAACCGAGCGTGAAACCCTAGGAACCATTTTTTCAGTGTGGAAATTTCTGCCAAACATATATAATTTCTTGAGGGGAAACGCCACGAATTTGCTTTGCATATGCTCCGGAATGTCAGCCTTAGTGGCTGTTCATTGCAACTTGGAAAGGCCCATTCGGGGCTATGATCTGTAGGTGATTGAATGCTTCCCAATCATGCATCAACAATTTCAAATGGGGTTCAAGTCAAATTCAGCATTGATGGGAAAAAGGGCTGAGCTCTATAAAACCAAGTAAACCAGAGGACCTCGTAAAACTTGGTCTTTTGCAAAAGACCTCGTAAAACTTGACCTTCCGACTTGCAGGGATTGGATGTTGTGCAAACGAGAAGCTTCTTAGATTGATCGCACACCGGCGCGTTCGATTTTTCACGTTTATGTTTGTATCAGCATTGGTCTTGGGAGCAGGGGGGGGGAGCTGTTGAATCTAATTCAAGCTTTGGAAAGTATTGTGATCCTGGAGACTCATGAGTGTACCTCCTCAGTGGTTGCTGTCCATTCAAAGGTTCTGGTAATTGCCACAAAGCATGGGTGTACAGTCCGTGAGTGATTACAGGAATCCAATGGCGCGCCTTGCTTTGCCATCAGTTCTGGTAGCACATACAGTACTGCGAGCAGTGCCGTCCCAAGACAGGACGGCACCGCGGGCCCACACAAAGAAAAGGCCAGCAGGGCCAGACTGCCAAATTCGGAGTATGGCGGTAACCGGCCGACCGGACCGGGCAACCGGCTGACCGGATCCCGGTTGACCCCTCCCCTCCCCGGTTGCCCGGTTGCCCGGTTGCCCGGTTGACCGGCTGACCGGGGCGGTTGCCCGGTTGACCGGCTGACCGGGGCGGTTGCCCGGTTGACCGGCGGAATGCCCGGTTGACCGGCTGACCGGCCGATCGGCCGACTAGGGGAAGAAATGCCCGGTTGCCCGGTTGACCGGCTGACCGGGGCGGTTGCCCGGTTGACCGGCGGAATGCCCGGTTGACCGGCTGACCGGTTGACCGGCCGACCAAGGGACACAAAAAATCGAAGACAAGAACACGAGACAAACAAAAGCAACAGCAACACCAGACACAGAATAGAACCAAAGGCAAGATCAAAGCACTACAAGTAGCAGCTAACCTGCCAAAAACTGAAAACGTAAGTATTGAAAGTGGCAAGGACACAAAAGCAGTTGAAGAGAAGAGGAGAGCAAAAAAGACCACGGAAGAAAAAAGAGCCTGAAGAAAAACACTGGAAAATAGAAAGCAAAACAGCAAAGAAAAAATTGACAGAAGAAAACTTTTTGGGAAAGTCTCGCTAAAAAATGTAGACCGGAACCATTAAAATGCGAAAAGGAACCATGGGAAATGCAAAGTCTAAGTAGGAAATTTGTTCCATGCAAGCACTAAACATAGACCTCAACCAACAAGTGTAAACTTGCATCACCCAAATTGTAACGTCGTAGCGGTAAAGTTAGAACGGTCACGAGTAAAAATGTAAAGGGCAACCATGAAAATGGCAAAATGTAAGCATGAGAATCTTTGAAAATATATCGTGCCAAAAACATTCGAACCGTGAAAACATGGACCAGGCGAGAATCGATACTCCACCTGGCACATACCTGCGTCATTATCTTCTGTGAACCTGACAAGTAACATCTCTTCTAACTCTTCGCGGTTTCGAAGCGTTGCGGAGGCAAATAAAAAACATATATATATATATGATTAGTGTAGACGATGCACAGGAGGACAAGAAATAGATGAAGTCCATGAAGCTGATCCTCGTTTCACGTGTAAAGACGACCCCCGCTTCGCGTGTACAGACGAACCCGTTTTCGCGTGTACAGACGACCCCCCGACCTTAAGCTGCAAGGCAAGCGGCTCCGTAGCAGCAGCCCGTTGCAGCCGGATGACGACTCGTTGCACGGCACATGGAGAGAGGTGCTGATGGGCAGCGCTGGTTGTGTGAGGCTGCGATTGGCAAAATGCCATGTGTGTGTGTGTGTTTTAGCTAAGGTAGAAGCATGTGCTTTGGACTGGACTATGTTCAAATAGGGCATGGGAAGTGCATGTCTGCATTGTGGTGAACTCAATAGATATCTAAGGGAACTGGAGTCTATGGAAACTGGGCGCTGCAAACCGAAAGCTGCAAACCAAGGCAGTGTAACAAGATTAAATACGATTTGATACGCTACAACCTAAGGCAAGTTCAGAGACCAAATGTCGTTAGTGTGCATATGCCGTGGAGGTTCGGTACAAGACACAAACTGCATGTTAGTTTCGTGGATGATGGAAAACATGTTGAAGAAACAGAGACGACAGTACAGATACACATTGCACGGTGTCATGGCTGAGATGGAGGACTTTGGCAATGGAGATCGAACAGGAGACATAGAGGTTGGCAAGTAGGACACATTTCGCACGAAAGTCGCTGCCGAAAATTTCATTTTGCTGCGGTTCGAACTCTGTCGGCTTTTTTTGTAAAGCGGGTGAAACAGCAGGAGGTCGGCATGGATTTAGAGCTGCTGCGAAGCTGGTCGTCGAAATGGCAGCGTTTCCACTGCATCCTGGAAGTTGCGGCGCGCCATGAATTTTCGCTTCTTGGCCGCTGCCAGTTCTGCCTTTTTGATCCCCATGAGTTCGAGTTGTACATTGCGAGCGTGCAGCAATGACGCAAGGAAGAGAAGGCCACGCACTGGGGTCATGCGCCGCGCCGCCACCGCAATTTTGCGAACAAACGCAAAAGATTGTTCAGCTGCGCTGTCATTAATGTTGGGGAAGCTCGAGGCATGCGTCTGAGGCCACGTTTTGGGAAACGGGCGAGTGCCATCAGGCTTGCAGCCGCTGAGCCCTTTGCGAAAATGGAACTTGTCGATGACAAGGCGAAGCCGGCTGAGGGTACGAGCAACTTTGCTCATGCGGCGTCGTTTCTTGGAAGCCATGAAGCGCTGCAACGTGCACGCGCAATCGTAAAAGACCAGCGGCATGGTTTGCTGAAGTGTTCGCAGGCGAGTCTTCCGCTTGGCAGTCTTCAAATTGACATTGCGGCCGGCAGACAGAAACTCAAACAGCTCAGCCAAGAAAAAGTAGACCCCTGTTGGGGATTCGTGGGTGTACACGAGCTTGATGGCGCTGATGATTTGGCATTCCTTGACAGCGGCTAAAATGCCCCCACTGCGCCGTGCTGCACGAGATTTTTCCCATTGCCGGCGACACGCGTCATTTTTCTCGGACGCAGAGAACTGGACTTGATGTCCGACGCGTGGCTTTGATTGGCACTCTCGTGAAACGGGCTCCAACAAGGATTGACCATATTGCTGTTGGTAGTGCGTGGGAACCAAGGCGCTTGATAGCGAAAAGGCTTGGCCTGTCTTGGTTTGGAAAGCATACCGCCGCGAACGCGGAATACGTTTGACAGAAAGAAGCGAAACTGGATATTGAAGCTTAGCGTGGCTCACAGCAAAACTCAACGCTTTCCGCGTTCGTCGACAAAGCGGGAAAAGCGCGACAATATCTGGCGACTTGTGGCGACCAGCTTCGGTGCGAGAAAGCAGGGTTGCTGTCGTTGCGAGGAAGGAAAGGATCATTTGCAAAATGAGATCGCAACCAAAAATCGGGTCAGCATCTCGGAGGTGCACGGCGCAATATTTTCGACCAGGAATGGGAGCACTCTGGCATCCAGTCAGGCAATGGGCGTTCAGAGGCCTGCAATCCCATACGCCCGCATCCGTGTTGGCGCACAGTTTGGTACGAACTTTGGCATTGCCGTCCACGCCTAGAATGCCTCGTTCGCACTTGGAACACTGGTGTTGCAGGAGCCAGCGACGCTGAAATTGGTGAAGCACCTGGTCTTCGAGTCCACGGCACCAGGGTTCCATGTCATTCTTGCCGACAAAGCAATTGATGGAAGTGCGATTGTTTGTCAAAAACTTGCACACGGAGTATTGCAGCCACGAATCGCGGAGATGCTTCTCCAGCGTTCGAATTTTCATGTGGAGCTTGGGCCGCAGCACATTCACAATGCCTCGGAAAGAACCGCCGCAATGAAGCAGAATGTCGGTGACTTGGTCCAAGAAAGCTGTCGCAAAGACGATGTTTTGCGTGATGCAGAAGTAGCGTGGGTTGTCTTGCACTAGCATCCTAGCCCGCGCACCAGTTGCATCTTTGCCCTCAACCCACGGTCCAAAATAAGAGCGACTGCAGGAGCAGCAAGAGTAGCTGAGGAGCAGGACCTGTTCCACGCAATGCAAGCCAAGCGCACAAGGCACTGCGCGAGCGGCGGCACATTTGAGATGTGCGTGGCACGTCAGACAATGTTTCACGTCTGGTTGAACGCATCTCGTGGGAATGTGCTTTGGCAAGTGGCACTCAGCTCCAAGCCAATGCGGGGCACGTCGGAGAAGCTTGCCAAGAATAAAGTCGCAGTCCCTTTCAGACAGGTGAAGATGGAAACATTGTTGTTGCAGCAATGCGTGCGCCACAGACGCTCGACATGCAGGATCCGCGTGGTGGAACGCGAGAACGAAAGCAGGCAACAAACTGAGGGACCCTGGGTACATCAACGAAGAGCACGCGTCGCTGTGGGTGGCCCCGGCTAACATCTCGGTTCCTGGAGGCAGAGGAGGAGGATTGTTAGGCGCTACCTGCTTGGCTGCCACGCGCTGGGATTTGACATTCAGAATTTTGGCACTGTGCTCGAAAGGGCGGGCGTCAGTGGCGTATTGCGTGAGCAGCTGCAAGCACTGCTCCATGCGCGGGACATCGAAATCGGGCGGCAACAGGACCTTCAAGTCGGCAGCATACAGACTGGAGATAGACGCGGTCACCGTTAGGCAGGATTCTGCGTACTCCGCCAAGCTGTTCGCCTGCTTGTGCTGGAAAAGATGCAGCAAATTTGAAAATGCAACTTGGGAAGTTGGGCATTGCGGAGGCTTTCTTTTGCGCAGCCTGTGAGCCGCCTTTTCGGAGGTCCTGGTCAAGGCTGCCAACTGGCAATATTTCAGAAGCAAAAACGCGTTTTGGCAATATGGCTTGGCAGCATCTCTTGGTAATGCCACGCCTGTGTCTTTTGCATGAAGTTTCTTCAGCAAGGTCCCCTGGTCAACCATGATTGTGCTTGCGCTCGTGAGAACCCAGTGCGCAGCAACGAAAGCATAGAGTTTGTTGTCCGGGGAAAGGGCTTCCCACCAAACAGTGAAAGACGGGCTAGCATCCGGCAACGAATTGGCAGGGGCAGCTTCTGCGCGAGCAGTTGGGAGAGTGTCGGTTTCGATCAAAGTGATAAGATACGGATACCTCTGCGCAGCAAGCTCGCGCAAGTCGTGCGTGTCCAAGGTGCTGACGAGGTTGGATCCCGGCGCGAGCAGTTGAGACTGCAAGGACAAATAATCGAAAATAGCTTTAGCCGGCTCCACGACTTCGCGAGAAAGCTCTCTGCTCCAAGCCGTGCCTGACTGATCGGCGGCAGAACACGCACGCGCCCAAGAATGCAACAACAGAGCCAAACGCCAGGGAAGTGATTTCAGTTTGCCGGCATGGCTGAAAAGCTTTGGGTCCTGCAAGTATGATTGTTCTTGCGTGAGAACTTGGGCGTCGTAGTGCTCTCGAAAATAATCCAAGGCATCGGGGGCAAAGAAATATGGAATGAATTCCCGCGACGCATCAAAATCAGGAGCATTTGCAGTGTGAACGTTTTCGATTCTTGTGAGGACAGAAACAAACTGGGTGAGCAATGAAGCTGGAAGGACCGGCGCACCTCGAGAGCGCGCAGCCCCCGTGGAATACACCGCAGGTTCGAGGACTGCGTCTGCTTTCTCGAGGCGGGGGCTGCTGTGAAACATGAGAAACCGACTTTGCATGCCCAAGGCACCATCTTTGGCCAGAAAGTCATGCCATTCCTCGACATGGAAAGTCATTGCTAAACAAAGGCATGTCTGGTGCATGGAGAAGCGGTTGTTATCCTTCACAACCGTCCTTTTCCAAATGGAGCCATTAAAGAGCTTGGACATAGTGGAGGCATTAAATCCGGAACCTTCTCCGTTGGCCAGCGCTCGGAGAAGGAACCGGCCTTCATCATATAATCCAATAGCCCGGTGCCCGTTGTGCGCCATTTGCATGCCAATGGCGGGCAACGAGCCTTCGTCGGAAAACAAGGCGGGCTTGTTGTTGTGGATGGCCGCCAATGCTTTCGACAAGGAGGTCTTGCGTTTTTTTGACGAAGGCTCATCTGGCTCCGCACCGTGTGCATCCTCCTCCTCTTCTGCCAGCTGCGCTTCCTTACGAGCTTCGTCCAGCGCCTTTTGGAGCAACTCCTTTTCAAAGCCAGAGACGATGTCTGCCAAGGCTGTCATGATGCCGCTTTTGTTGGCGCCGCTGTCGAGGCATAAGCCCAACCAAAGCAGCGGCGGCACGAGGAAAAATTCGTTGATGAACAGCCTGGCTTTGGAGCACGCAGTGCCAAGAACGGGTAGAAAAAGGAGGAAAGCCCATTCAAAGGGGCAGCCCGCTTTTTGGGCAAGGTTGTCTGTCATTGAATAGACGTCCGGCAAGGCATTTTTCAGCTGCTCATGTGGGAAGGGGGCAAGGTCGGCAAGGATGTATCGAGAGATCAGCTTTGCTCTTTCTGGATCTTTGCGGTACACGTCTGCAAAAGCTCGGTTGAAGTCTTCAGGTGTACCCCGAAGCAAATTGCCCGGCGAGGCTATACAGGCATTGACTGAGTCGTCTTCCATTTGCGCAGGGCCCGACGCACCCGCTGTGCAACTGGCAGCGTCTGGCGAGGAAGTGAGTAACTCGCATGGCGTAAAAACTGTCAGCGCTTCACGGCTGAGCCGCTCGGTGAGCGTGGGTTCTGCCAGGTTCAATGGAACGGTCGCCACGCACGCTGCATGAGCCGTGGGCTGCGCCCGGCCTAGCCAAGCCTCGGCGTGACCAGTGGAACCTGGAACGCGCAAGAGCGCTTGCAAAAAATGCTTGGTCGAATGGATGAAAACGAACAGGAAACAATTTGGGTTCTTAAGCCGGAGCAATGCGGCGCCCCATTCAATTCGCTGGAAGGTGTGGAAGCTGGAGACGTGGAACAAACAACTGTTGCTGTCCAGGATCAAAAGGTCTACAGGCTCTGCAGGAGCCAACACAAGAGCAAGCTGCGAGAGCCCCCGACCACAAAGATGCTGGCCCATTTCCAGGATGCAAGGGCAAATGGACAACGCTACTGTGTCACGCAGCGTCTTCAAGTGACCTACGCATTCCAAGCGCGTAGTTTTGAAGCAATGGAAAAGGTTTTCCGTCGGAGGTAGAAGCGTGGGAGCCAATCCAAAAACGAGAAGGTGCAGATATCCGACTGCGGGACAAGAGCTCAACGCTGGGACAACAATGGGGCGCAATGTCATCACCACGGGAAAGAACCAAGCATTGGTAGAGTTGAAAACAATCGTTGGAAAATCCACAACACTGCCTTCATACGGCTCGCAAAAACCATCCGACAAGAGAAGCAGATCACCGGCCGGAAGGATCCAAAGCAGTAGCGGCGCACACGAAAGGTGGGAGTGGACGTCTTGAATGAAGGAGAAAGGAAGCTCAGAAGAAAAGCGTTTTGGATGGGAGAAGAAGCAATGCCACGCAGACGAAGTTAAAGCCAGCTGCGCGCAAGTCTTTGCCAAGCAAGCAGAACGCAAGCCACACGCGTTTTGCAACGCCTGAAAGAACGAGGAAGCTCTGCAGTTGGAAGAAAGAAAAGCCAAAAACGCGTCTGCCCAGGCATCAGAACTAGAATCAGAAGCATCGTCACGAAGGAGGGCCGCTGACAGTGAAATCGCCGGAACCTCCCCAACAGTAACAGTTGGACTGTGAGGAGCACGCAGGCGCGGAGAACCGGGGTAACTGGCGCCGAGCAATGTCGAAGCGGGCGTTCGATTCGGGGAAAGCAGCCGGCTTGGCGAAGACTCAAAATGGAAATGATCGTCGCAAAATACCACTGGAGCGGAAGCAGCGGCCGAGGTGACAGAAACAGATCCAGTGGAGTCGGAATCCACTACGTCGCACCACAAAGGGTTGCCTGCCGCGCTGGTTGCGCCGGCTGAAAATTGGGCCACACTACCGCCATCCAGCTTAACCCACTTCATGCAGCCTGGTTTGTGGGTGTACGGCCGCGGCGCAGGATACTTGCGCGCATGTTCCATGACCCACGCATAGGCTTTCTTGTAGTTCACCGACGATTGGTCAGTAATGCAATGCTTGTTTGCGTTGTCGGGTGCCCAAATGTACTGCGAAGGAGGGCCCGTGGAAACCCAAACGCCAGGTGAAGGTTGCTCACCGATGAGAAAGCATTCGGCCAGGGTGACTTCCCCCACCAATTGTTTGGAACCAGCTTGTGCGATCGCAATCCTTCCCCGCTTCGTGGTCGGCTCCCCGCGAACCTCCCACGTTTTTTCGCCTGAAAGAATGAGCTCGGCCCACTTGCGTTTGATGATCAAAGCCCGTTTGGGCATGGCCACGTCTTGGCGGTGAGCCTTGGTGGAACGCGGGTCGGTTGGGCGGCGGCTGCCGGCTTTGGATCCACTCGCCTTGCCACCGCCGGTCAATGTCAAGGGACCAATGTGCAACACATGTGGCCCGACGATACGCAGCAGAGGCTGCAGCTGCAAGGCTTCGCGACGAGCTTGAGTCAAGACTGGCTGAATAATTGTGGTGTCCCGGTCCGGGCGGGGCAAAGGTGCGGCGCCCCTTAAGCCTATGAAGCCTTTCAGCTCATTCGACTCTGTGGCCGGCCAAGGCTGCGGACAAAGCGAGACCAAGTCCCCACGGGAATCAAACAGCGCAACACTTGCAGGAGAGCATACAAAGGTGAAAGTTTGACATCGCGAAAAATCGATGGGGCGCAGCGCGTGCATTTGCATTCGCTCGACTTCTGTGCACCAGCGCGCGCCGTTGCAACGCCCATCTCGGATCTCCAGCTGAAGCCCGCGTTGGGAAAATGGGGCCTGCAGGCTGAAGAGGTGTGGCCAAGCAACTGCTGCAGGGTGAGGTCCCGTGCTCATGCCTATTGTCAAGTAGAGCTGCGACTGCCCGAGCAACACGGGCGACAACTCGATGACGGCCGTGGAAACTGAAGGGGAAATGCGCGAAGCCATCCGAACGACGTGGCGAAAGTCAACAGAGTGGAAAGTTTGCCATGTTCGATGAAGAGGAGGGAAGGAGCGCGGGTTGAAACACCCCAAAAGGAACTTCTTGTGGATCGGAAAACCTTGGGACAGCAGCGCTTCAATGCATTTGTTCAAACACAGCCTCGTGCAACAGCAAGGGGAAACAGACGCGACCAGTGCATTGTGCTGACTCGCATCGATCAGAAAGGCACAAGCGGCTCTGTGCGTTTGTAGGAACGTCACAAGATCGTTAAGAGCACACAAACACGCCAAAACTGTGTGCTGACAAGTCTGCGGCAGTCGATCCCAGAAGCCCCCGCATAGGTCCAGGCACGGCAGCACGCGAGCGAGGCCAACCCCTTGATGCAAGCGCGCCTGTGTCACCCGCACCGGCCGCCGGAAGCCGTTTGACGGAGCGGGCGCCAAATTGGACAGGGGAGCCGATGGAGAATGCAACGCCACGAAACAGTTTAACGGCGTGTTCTTTGGCAAACCGACGCAGCGCCACTGCAGCAGCACAGAACCGTCATTGCCAAACAGGCAGCAGATTTGGTCTTGCTGGCGACATGCAAAAGTTAACTTTTGTGGAGCGATGCCGGCCAACGACAGATCACATGAGTTGGCTTGGAAACTGTCATGTGTGAGGAAAGAGGCCAAGGAGCAGCACTGGCCGGAATTGATGTTGAGCTTCGCAGCAGCCACATTGCGGGCGTCGGGGGGGAAGGTGCTCAAGTGAAGCAAACCCTGCAAAGAAGAAAAGCCGGAAGCAAAAACCCCTAGAAGCAATTCCAAGTCCGGGCACTCCGCCAAACCAGCACAGCGTGCAAAAGATAAATTCAAAGCGAACACCGGCGGTGAAGGAGAAGCAGAACTCGTGAACCAGAAATTGGCGCCATGAGGCTCAGCATGGTAGTGATGCCAGGACCACAATGGATTGCGGGGCCGCGGCGCGAGCGCGAAAGTCAAATGGGCAACAGGGGAGTAAGGACATGAATGGGGCACTGCCTGGACAACCGCTCGAAGACAGAGGTTCGCACAGAGGCGCTGGCATGTGCATGGTGCGAGGCGCAAGTTTCCGGGCCAAGTATGCGGTGATTGGACTAGCTCGCAAAATTCATTGGAGACGCGCGTTGTGTAGCAGAAAGTTTGCGGAGAGAGAGCGTAGTGCAGAATTTGGACGAGGATCTCAGGCTCCAGCGCCTCCAATATGTTGCTGCTTTCTGCGCTTTCGCGCAAGATTACACCCCCGGACAACAAAGGATAACAGTCTCGTTGGGAAGACAACGCGCCGCAAGTTGCAAACAATGGAAAACGACATAAGCCCAACGCCCGGCAAATATGGAATAAATCCATTTGGAAAAGAACCTGCCAGCTGTCGGGCCAAGCAGCTTGCATCAATGTAGCAACGACAGCAACCGGCGCACCTGTGTCCACAGCAACGGTGAGAGGGGTCTCCAGGCGGAGGTTGCGGCTCGCGCCTGGCGCTGATGCGGCAAGCAGCAGCCGAACACAGGCAGCATCCCCATAAACTGCAGCGACATGGAGGGCCGAATCTTGTTCCACGTCAGTTGCATCCACCGGGGCATTGGCGTTGATTAAAAGATCAACAGCTGCTGGCATGCTTTGCCTGCAAGCCAAATGCAACGGGGTGCCGCCGAAATCATACCGGCAAGCGACATCAGCGCGCGCCAGGAGGAGAGCGCGGACCATATCTACATTCTTCTTGTTCAGGGCTGCATACAGAGGGTGCAGGGTGCCTTCTGCAGGGTGATTGGGGCACTGCCCATCAAACAACAGCTCCTGAGCGCAAGCAACGTCATTCAAGTCAATGGCTCGGAGGAGCTCGTCAGCTAAGTCTTTGCGCGTTGGGATCCGCAGAAGCTTGACGGACACAAGCGGCGCAAGCTGCGGGCCAGTCGGGGTTGGACAGACCACGTCGGAGGACGCAAACAACCGCAGGTGGAAGGGCGACGCCTGCAAAACATTAGCAATGACTTTGATGAGAACCATGTGGAGCGATCTGTTCCAGAGGTCCGAAACTGGCAGCGTCACAGTGCAGAGGTGAGCGCCGGACAGGAGAGAGCGCAGCGTGAAAGTGACAAGTTGCTGCTCTGGAAGAGCAAGACTCCAGGACCGTTCTGCGGAAGCAAAACGCAAAGGTCTATCCTCAAAGTTGGTCGGCACCATGCAAGCAAAAGAGCCGCCGGCGAAATCCAAACTCGATGGCTGCATGGCACGGGCCGCAGGCAAGGCAGAAGATCGCCCAAGCAACCCCGCCCGCGACTTTTCAAAAGGAGTAGAGTGAAGCAGAACGAAATGGGGGGCACGGATGCTAAGCAGTCCCAGAACGCAAACAGATGCGGAAGAAATGTGAGACGCCAGTTGCACATCGCCATCAGGCTGAAAATGGATGAAGTCAAGGCCGGCGTGAAGTTTGCGAACTGCGATGCCGTCCGGAAACCAATCGCGCAGCTGGCTGAGCAACAAAATGTGGCGGTGCGACAGCCAAGCTGCGCGGGAGCAGGGGTTGGCAGGGTCCATGGCCATCACAAAAGCCATGAGCTCATGAGGCTGGAAGGTGTGCTGCGCGGCCAGCATCAACGGAAGGAGTCGCTGCATGACATCCGTCCAAGAAATTCCTAAGAATTTCGCAAGAGCTCTGTATCCGCACCGTCCATCGCCCTGCACATTGAATGCGCGCCAACCCGAAGGAACGGGAGCGTGAATTCGGACATCCGGCTCAAGCACTTTTGCTTTCGGGGGAAGAAAGGACGAGCGGCGAAAGGATTGGTTGATTGCGCTGTGGTGCAAGCGGCAGAAGCGGTGTCCTGCGAATGCAGGGTGTGGCTGCCCGCACTGTAGATCGCGAAGCTGAAGGAAATCCTGGCGCGCACACTTCGGACAAAAAAATCTAGACAAGAATCCGAACCAGTCGTGTGAATGGCCGTCACTCGCACCTAAAAGCAAACAAACAGCAACAAAAGGGAAATTCACAACGTGCATTGAACAACTGTGTTGAAAGCATGAGGGTATACAGTGTAAAGGATATATGCAACAAAAATGAACGTGCAACGACCCGTACACTGCGCGAAGCGCGAAAGTGTTAGGCAAACGACATATTTCGTATTTGCATGAAACCAGAGACGGACGTAGCAAAAACAGAAATAGTTGAAGCATCAAACCGTGCGATGTCCTTGGAGTCTTCCAACGAGAAGTAGGAAGCAACACTTTGGAAATCATCCGACGCCTGCGCGAGATGGAATGCCACAAAAAACAGAGTGAGAACGTGCTCCCAGCTAACTGTGTTAAAAGAATGACTGTATAAACAGAAAAGGGTATACAGGCAAGGAAACGGGAAATACAATGATCCGAACACTGCGTGAAGCGCGAAAACGAGACAGTGTCAATCAAAACACAGGTTTGACATTTGAATAAAACCAAAAATAGTTGCAGCATCAAAACCGCGCGATCTCCTCTGAGTCTTCCACCGAGAAGTAGGAAGCAACACTTTGGAAATCATCCGAGTCCTGCGCGAGATGCAATGCAAAAAAAAGATTGAGAACGTGCCCCCGGCGAACTGTGTCAAAAGAATGACGGTATAAACAGAAAAGGCCATGTGAAACAGCAAAAGACCCCGGACGTGAAGTGTGACATGTGAAAATTGCAGCATGAGAAGGGCACACAAGCTGAAACCTGTTCGGCATGCTTGCGCCTCTGCACAAGAAGCCGCTGCCGTGGGACTTGCTGCAAGTTCGGGGCCAAATTCCTGACGTGTAAAGGGAAGGGCCATGGAAGTGGAAGATGCAGAGGCCGCATTCGACGCAAGAAGGAGTAGCGTTCTAGTATATAGGTGAAGATCTGAAGCAAGGACACGTAAATAGAACTGGATATGGAAGGTGGCATCCTTAGGTTAGCCAGCTTTGAACGAATTGCATTGAAGCCTGACCCCCCCCGTCCTCGTCATGAAGATCAGCCCACGCGGTGCGGCCGCTCCAGACAAACAAGTTGCTTAAGACCAGAATCTCGTCTTCGACCTGACATGCAGTGCAAAAGTGTGAGGTGTCAGCTTGCATGCACATGCACATCGCCTCAGCGAAGGTACTGAGCTTGAAAAAGCGCGCCATCCTGGCGGGAAAGCCGAGCTGTCCCGAGCGGAGATGAGAAGCCCAAGGTGGCAAGCGAGCAAAGTAAACACCAGCTGAAAGGTCTGAAGTCCGGGCCTTGAACAAGGGAGAAAAGGGAGCGGCGTAGTGACAGACACAAGTTGCGATTTTGAGCGCTTAAGCTGCACGCGAGAATGCAATCAGTATGGAAAGGCTCGGCCAGAAAAGCATGGAAAGAGAGGCTGCCCCACTTTGAAGTTTAAAACGCGCTGAAGCGAGTGAGCAATTCACTTGAGAGTTTGAAGAGCTGCGTGTGATTGAATTATTCGTGCTTGCAAATTAAAAGAAAACTGTTGCAAGCGGCTGTTGTTGCAGAAACTTTTGCATAGCACAGACGTTGTACATGGAGGATGGCAACCCAACGAGCAAGTGATAGGAGTCATACCTGCAAAATGGCGAAGCACAGTAAAACTTGAAATTTGGATAGATTGTTCAGAGCATGTTCGAACATTGGGTGGTCAGTAAATAGATTTGGTAGAAGCGAAATGCAGCAGGGCATGCATGTCAATTTCAAAGACCTATGTGACGAAAATGCGGGTGGAGAAATTGATGTTCAAAGGTTTGGAGGTGCAGATCTTCATGGAGTGGGGTGGTGCAGTAGGGGGGGTGGGGTGGAGAAGTGAATGGGGGGAATTAACGTTCAAGTTGCGTGTCAGGTGCATGGCACGGTACGTGGAAGAGGTCTTACAGATGCAGTGGGGGAGGTTTCGGTGTTAATATGGAGCGGCTTTTACATTCAAGTTACGTGGAAGGTGAGTGGCACGTTACGGTCCAGATGTCTTACGCTGATGCAGTGGGTGGGGTGGGATGGAGTGGCATTAACGTTCAAGTGACGTCTAAGGTGCATGGCACGTTACGTTGAAGAATCTTTATATTTTGTTCGGTTACATGCAAGAAGCGATTATACCATAGAATGTAAATGTTACTCAAGAACGTCGCACAGAAGTCACGAATGCAGGACTTGTAAAAAGGGTTCCCAAAGATCTCATGATTTTTGCAAATGGAACCAGAGGCTTTCCAAGCTCATGCTCGTTACATTTCCCCAACAAATCTCTCATATTGGCACAAGTGAAACACAAGAAACTTTTTTCATGAAGCGATATGTATGCAGACATGAGTTTACATGAAGCCACGGGTTGGCGTCAAGCCGCAGGGTGGCAATGAAGCCACGGGTGGCAGTCAAGCCGCAGGGTGGCAATGAAGCCGCGGGGTGGCAATGAAGCCGCGAAGTGGCAATAAAGCCACGGGGTGGCAATGAAACCGCGGGGTGGCAATGAGGCCGCAAGGTGGGAATCAAGCTGCAAGGTGGCAATGAAGGCGCGGGGTGGCAATCAAGCCCTCAGGTGGCAATGAAGCCACAGGTGGCAATGAAGCCACGGGTGGCAGTCAAGCCGCAGGGTGGCAATGAAGCCGCGGGGTAGCAATCAAGCCGAGGGGTGGCAATGAAGCCGCGGGGTGGCAATGAAACCGTAGGGTGGTGGGGGTGGCAATGAAGCCGCGGGGTGGCAACGAAGCCGCGGGGTGGCAATGAAGCCGCAGGGTGGTGGGGGTGGCAATGAAGCCGCGGGGTGGCAAGGAAGCCGCGGAGTGGCAATGAAGCCGCGGGTGGCAATGAAGCCGCAGGGTGGCAATGAAGCCGCGGGGTAGCAATCAAGCCGCGGGGTGGCAAGGAAGCCGCGGGTGGCAGTCAAGCCGCGGGGTGGCAATGAAGCCGCGGGGTGGCAACGAAGCCGCGGGGTGGCAATGAAGCCGCATGGTGGGGGTGGCAATGAAGCCGCGGGGTGGCAATCAAGCCGAGGGGTGGCAACGAAGCCGCGGGGTGGCAATGAAACCGCAGGGTGGTGGGGGTGGCAATGAAGCCGCGGGGTGGCAACGAAGCCGCGGGGTAGCAATGAAGCCGCAGGGTGGTGGGGGGGTGGCAATGAAGCCGCGGGGTGGCAATGAAGCCGAGGGGTGGCAATGAAGCCGCGGGTGGCAATGAAGCCGCAGGGTGGCAATGAAGCCGCGGGGTAGCAATCAAGCCGCGGGGGGGCAAGGAAGCCGCGGGTGGCAGTCAAGCCGCAGGGTGGCAATGAAGCCGCGGGGTGGCAACGAAGCCGCGGGGTGGCAATGAAGCCGCATGGTGGGGGTGGCAATGAAGCCGCGGGGTGGCAATCAAGCCGAGGGGTGGCAATGAAGCCGCAGGGGGGTGGGGGGGTGGCAATGAAGCCGCGGGGTGGCAATGAAGCCGAGGGGTGGCAATGAAGCCGCGGGTGGCAATGAAGCCGCAGGGTGGCAATGAAACCGCGGGTGGCAGTCAAGCCGCAGGGTGGCAATGAAGCCGCGGGTGGCAGTCAAGCTACAGGGTGGATGAGCCGCAGGGTGGCAGCATTGCTGCAAGTTAAGCGAGCAATAAAGAATAACACACTGAACTGTCATGAACACGCTGATACACTTTGCGTTTTGGTTCATTTAAAAGAAATCGATGTTAAATCTACTTTTGCTATCATTTTACGTACAGAATGACGTACACAAACAGAAAGACTAACGAAAAGAAACAAAGCAGGAGCAATGAAGGCAAAATCGTTTATTCACCCCGCTCCGCGTGGGGTGGCCGCCCACACCGCAGGTTATTTCGGTTCGTACACGCTGTGGTTGTGGTGGTGGTGGTGGTTGTTGTGGTTGTTGTGGTTGTCGTCGTCGTCGTCGTCGTGGTCGTCGGGCCCATGCTGAGCCATCTTGCGCCCAGCGTAAGCTTATGTCATGCCCAGGAATGTACATTCCGATCAAAACGTCGCGACGTGCAACGGGCCGCAAACAAGGCTTCAGCCCCCAGACGTACGACGACCAAGAAAACAAAGAACTCTTCGCTACGCATTCGGGGAGGAAGAAAATATATTACGAAAAAATAAAATCAAGGGTTCGGTTCTATCTGGTTTGAACCATTTATACTGGGATATGACTAACCAACGTTTACCGACCGTCAAAACATCATTTCCCAGTGCTTCCAAAGGATAGGTTTACTAAGTCCGTTATCACAAAGGACAGGTTTGACTAAAAGGCTACAATTTACCCAAATGACAGGAGATTGTGGTAAACATCAAGAACCATATTTTCACGGGCTTTTCACGGCCTTTTCACTGACTTTTCACGGCCTTTTCACATGTATCATAATAAGTTGTAATTTCATCAAAATTGCCCAGTTTCACAAAGGCTAAGTTTAACCTAGGCGTTGTGACTGGGTGAGTTTTTGGTGTCCTTTGAAGTTCTGGGTTTCATAGCAATATGACGATGGTATATTGCGTTCCTTCTGTCATTTAACCTTGCTTTCAGACAACACCATTCAGGAATAGCATACACTGTGTGAGAGGATATACAATATAAAGAAATAAGTCTCAATATACAAAAAAAAGCGGCGCGCAAAACGACTTAGTACTCGGAAAAGGACGTGGCCAAAGTAGGTGGTCCCCTATCGGTTGTGAACTTTGGCACTCCCATGCTAGGTGACAAAATAGGATGCCGGTAAGTGGATGTTCCGGTATCGCTCGTGAAAGGTTTGCACACATATTTGAACATCCCAAGTCTAGCACCTATACTACTTGAGCCCTCCACTAATTTTGACGGTTACTTATATGTATTTGTGGCCAATAGTTGGCTGTCCGGCATTACTCCATTTCCATTCTCCCACTGGTAACATGAACAAACCGCACAAAACGGTTTTGCAACCAGCTCGACGTGGCCAGGAGTCCGTTCGAAGTGCATCTCACTTGAACAGTGGCTGGTCATTCAGCCGAATCAATTATTCAAAAGGGACGCTCCACGGACACAAAGTTTGAATGTCGGGTTGGTGGAAGTCAAAACGTAGGACGTAAATTGTAAACTTATATAATTCACCAATACAAGTTCAGGGGTCAGAATTGCAACACCATAACGGGTTTCACACTTGTTCAGAACAATCTTATCGAATTAGGATGATGAATGGATCTTACGTGCAAAAACAATTCAGATTCACCTGCCAGGAAAACCCTTTGCGACCAGAAATGAGGAATTCTCAGATTGCGACAACAGTGCAAAAGCGAAAAGAAACTGATTGTTTGACAACGGCAAGGTGGTTCTTGGGTTAGCCACGTCCCATTGCAGAAAAGTAGGTTTGACAAAAATGCAGGTATGTCGGGATGATCAGTCCCGATATCCTCCCAACTCATGAGTAGCTTCGTTGGCAGTGGACTCATGAGTGGGCCACTGCCCCCTGCTTATATACTTAATTAAAAAACAAAAACAAAAAACCTAAACCTAAAAAGCCTACCTAAAGAAATGAGACCTGAGCCTGGGATGAACATGAGTATATGAGGTGAAGAACCTAAAATATGTATATATATATATATGATGAAACCTTTACAAAAGTAGAAGTTTTACATCTATTCAGATGTTACACACACACACCCTCCCGCAGGAGGGTGGACAATTTAAAACCTCAAAACCTAGACCTAACAAGCCTAACTAAAGAAATGAGACCTGAGCCTGGAATGAACATGAGTAGATGAGATGAGAGGCCTAGCAAAATATAAATATATGATGAAACAACTCACCCACCCTCCCGAAGGAGGGTGGGAGGATAAGGTCCGGACAATAAGATGAAAATGAAGAGAAAGGGAAATGAAGATGAGATGAAAATGACAATGAGATGAAAGTTACTTAACCAGGACACGAAGAGGGGGAACGCAAACGCAGAGGGAAGGAGAAAACACCAACACATGAAAACCTAGCCCACCACGGGCAAACCCTGAAAGGGGAAGGAAAAAGAAAACGGAGGCAGACGGAAACGGAACCAGACCCGCGGAGGGGGGGGAAGACGGAAGCGCCTGAACCAACCTACACCAGCGAAACCTACACCTACCTGGGCACGCGAAGGGCCAAACCTACCTGGAGAGAGGAGCACGCAGAAACACATGAAATAGGGGATTCAGGTGTAAAAGTTCAAC